ATTCTTAGGCCACATCGTGTCTGGAGAGAGAATTAAAGTTGATACTCAGAAAATAGAGCCAGTGCAGAATTGGCCTAGACCCACATCTCCAACTGATATTATGAGTTTCTTGGGTTTGACTGGCTATTATAGAAGGTTCGTAGAGGGGTTCTCATCTATTTCATCCCCCTCCCTTTGACCAAGTTAACTTAGAAAACAGTAAAGTTTCAATGGTCTGAAGCTTGTGAGAAAAGCTTTCAGGAATTGAAGAAGAGGTTGGCTACTGCCCCAGTGTTGACCTTACCAGAAGATACTCAAGGTTTTGTCGTATATTGTGACGCGCCTAGAGTTGGTTTGGGTTGTGTGTTAATGCAGAATGACAAAGTTATAGCTTATGCCTCCAGACAGTTGAAAGTTCATGAGAAGAATTACCCAACCCATGATCTAGAGTTGGTTGCCATAATATTTTCTTTGAAAATATGGCGCCATTATCTTTATGTTGTTCATGTGGATGTGTTCACCGATCACAAGAGTCATCAGTATGTGTTTAGTCAAAAAAAGCTTAATCTCAGACAGATGAGGTGGTTAGAATTACTCAAAGATTATGACATGAGTATTCTTTATCACCCAGAAAAGGCTAATGTTGTTGCTGATGCCTTGAGCAGGTTGTTTATGGGTAGTACACCCATTTTGAGGAATGTAAAAAAGAGTTAGCAAAAGAGGTGCATAGACTTGCAAGGCTAAGAGCTCGACTAATGGATTCCATAGAAGGAGGAGTAGTTGTGATGAATGGGTCTGAATCATCATTAGTGTCAGAGTAAAGATAAGCAAGACCAAGATCCTTTATTGCTTGAATTAAAGGCAAGTGTTCATAAGCAAAAAGTGATGGCTTTTGAACAAGAAGGAGATAGTGTTTTGAGGCATCAAGGTAGATTGTGTGATTGATTTCAAGGGTAATTGGGATGATCACCTATCTCTCATTGAGTTTGCTTACAATACTAGTTACCATGCTAAGCATACAAATGACTCCCTATGAGGCTCTTTATGGGAGAAGATGTAGATCTCCTATTGGATGGTTTGAAGTTGGTGAAGCTAGGTTAATAGGACCAGACTTAGTTCGTCAAGTTATGGAGAAAGTGAAAGTTATTCAAGAGAGATTGAAAACAGCCCAAAGTCGTCAGAAATCCTACACTGATTTTAGGAAAAGGGAGTCAGAGTTTGAAGTAGATGATTGGGTATATCTTAAAGTTTCACCCATGAAAGGTGTTATGAGATTTGGTAAGAAGGGGAAACTTAGTCCCCGGTATATTGACCCCTACAGAATATCGAAAAAGGTAGGTAATGTAGCTTATGAGTTGGAGCTACCACAAGAGTTGGCCGCGGTTCATCTGGTTTTCACATTTCCATGTTAAAGAAGTGCATGAGAGATCCTTCACTTATCATACCAACTGAAGATATTGGTATCAAGGATAGCTTATTTTATGAGGAGATTCCGGTTCAGATTCTAGATCGTAAAGTTCGAAAGTTGAGGACTAAGGAAGTAGCATCAGTCAAAGTTCTTTGGATGAACTAGTTTGTTGAGGAAGCTACTTGGGAAGCTGAGGAAGATATGAAGAAGAGACATCCACATCTCTTTGAAACCGGAGAAATTTCAGATCAAGGTACTAATTCTCTTCTTAGTACTTTTTAACTTATGAGATTACATGTTGTATTTACATTGCTTGTTGGGTGTTTGAACTGAATGTTAGATGTTACACCCTTAGTTTACTAAGAGTAAGCTCATTCGAGGACGAATGTTCCCAAGGGAAGATATTGTAACACCCCGTAACTAGAAAGAAGTTAAAAAGTGGAAATAGTCATTTTTGGAAAGAATATAAAAATCTGGAAAATTTGTTAAGTATGTTAAGTTGGATTTTTGATCAACTTCAAACGACCATAACTCCTAGCTCAGGATGAGTTAGGTATGTTTCCAGATATTGTAGGAAATATCTTGGAATAATCTTTCCAACGCCACCAAGTTGGCACTATTCTGAGTTCGTATGAGTGAGATATGCCCATTGGAAGTTGGGCTATTCAAATAAGGAAAGTCTAATCCGGATTTTGGAAGGGTATTTTAGTCTTTTCCTTTCCCAATTATTTTAATTCGTTTTTAGGAGTTTAATTGAGGTCTAAACTGAACTTGGTCAGTTTACGCTTTTCCAAAAAAAGTTAGGGTTTTGAGAGAAGAGGAGAAAAGAGGAGAAGAAGCAAGATTCGTCAAGATCGTTCAAGTTTGATCGTAGATTTCGTCAAGGGGTGATCCCTACGAGGTATGTGAGTCTTTCATAGCGTTGGGTTTGTTCAACCTCACGCCAATCACGTTTATTTCAGCGAAGTTCGTTCTAGAAAGTTGAAAGTTGATGAATCTTGAATGGTATTCTTGAATTTGGATTTCGTTCTTGAATTGGGATGAATTGAGAAATTTATGAGATCTTTACGTCGAGTTTTAGAGTTGTTATGAGTTAGGTTCATGGGTACATATGTTGGGTATCTGAATCTAAACAAAATTGAGAAGAATAGTTGAGTTTATAAGGTGAATTGGGACTGGAAAACGAAGAAGGAAAAAGTCGGGCAAATCTGGTGCCCTTGTCCGCCTCGCAGACCTGTCCCAAAATTTCGCAAAAAGTCTATTCGCGTTGCGGAGCAGTCACGGATCGTTCTGCCTCAAAAATTATTTTTGCGATCAAAATTTAAATACACCTCCGCGTCGCGGACTAATTTCCAGGCAATGATTTCTTGATCATTTCTCATGTTTAGCTATATAAAATCATTCCTAAACATCATGAGATCTTTCTTATCACAAATCACAATCCTTGAATCCATAATTCAATTCAAGGAAAGTTAAGAGTCAAGTCAAGAGAAGTCAAGGGTCAAGTTCAGAGAAGTTTATAAAGTTTTTCAAAAGTCTTTTATAAATGTTTTTACTTTGTTTTAAGAGTTGAGTAAAGAGTAAAGTTTGAAGTGCATTTCTTCAAAAGAGTATATCGGGACTATGTATTTTCGAAGAGTAAATGTTTTCACATTTAAACAAGAAAGAAAACTGATATTTCCAAAAGAGCCTTTAAGCTAGTTTTCAGTAAAGAGTAAGAGTAAAAGTTTATTCTTCAAAGATTATTCGGGAACTAAGTATTCTCAAGAGTTAAAATGTTTTCACATTTGAGCAAGAAGGAAATTGAGATTTTCAAGAGAGCTTTTAAGCTAAGTTTTTGAGTAATTATCTCAAACCAAAGAAAGACTTTTGTTTTTACAAACATATGAGCTAAGTATATTTTGAGAGTAGTATTGAGCACCAATATGGGGACGAGTTTGAGTTCAGATAACTCACATCTCCATAAACTATGTAGCCATCATGAGTAGTAAAAGATCATACTTTTTAGATGACTCCTTAAGATGCTTTTAGCATAGACTAGTGGATCCACTTAGTTAAGCGCTCTATATGACGGCAAAATATAGGATAGTTTTGGCAGCGTGGGCAAGACGATGTATCACCACTTAGGCTCATAGTGGTGGTTGTCAGTTAGAGACACTCTCATAGAAACTATATTACTTTATTTTATGAGTAAAATTGAGTTTGTAATAGCATTTTCTTTAACGAACTAAGTTGTTTTCTACTATTTTAAAAGCTTTCTATAGATTGCATGCGTTTTATTGCTTTATATTAAGTTAAGTTATTCAGGAGTTGAGTAAAGCCAAGGTAAGTGTTTCGTTCAGATTTTTTTCAAGCTTAAGTTATGTTTAGCATTCCAACTCGCATATACTCATACATTCAATGTACTGATGTCAGTTAGCCTGCATCTTATTATGATGCAAACGCATGTAACCAAGATCAGCATCCAGCGCCTCGTTGATCCACTTGAGCACTCAGAGTCAGTTGGTGAGCCTCCTAGCTTTCTAGAGGATTCCTTTTTATTGCTTTCAATATTTTAGTTCATTAGGATATCGTGGGTCTTGTCCCGACATCCATCTCAGTTGTTTAGAGGCTTCATAGACAGAGTTAGTGATGTTAGTTCATGAGTCTTTACTTTTCCTTTTCAGTTAAGTTGAGACTTGAGTTGCCACGTTGGCAGTGAATGTTATTATAATACATTCTAAGTTATATTTTGAGCAGTACAGTTTACTTGTTTTAAAGTATTTATCTTGAGTAAAGTCTTCCGCTGAGTAAGTAAGTCAGACCAAGGGTTCGCTTGGGGCCAGCAATGGTTCTCGATGTCGGTCTCACCCAGGGTGTAGGCTCGTGGCATGACAAACTAATATACCACTCGTTAAGAAAGTGACTCTTATATATCCTTACCATTATACAAATGACTCATATATATCCTTATAGTTAAAAAATGAGCTCACATATACCCTTCATCTGATGGAAGTGAAAAAATTAGTTTTAAAATTATTTTTTTGACTTTAAATTGTTTAAAAAATCATGTAGGGTATATATATGATTCTTCTAGCAAAGTTCAAGGTATATTTTAGTCTTTTTCATACAAAAATTATTTTTTGACTTCTTTTATTAACATGTCAAGTTTCTTATTCTTTATTTTCTTTCATTCTTTAGTGTAAAGAAAAAAATTAAAACTATTTTTTTTGTGACTATATTATAATTTAGTTTTTGTATTTGTAGGAATAAAATAAAAAAAATGGGGCATCTATAATAAATTTTACAAGAAAATTAGTTAAACATAAAAAAATTTGACCATCAAAATAATAAATTTAAATTAGTCGTTGAAACAAAAAATTTAAAAAAAATACATGTGAGGAGGGTCAAGTATACTTATATGAATTATATTTTTTTTTCAAAAAGATAATTAAAAAATTAAATTTAAATTAATTTTCACTTCTATTAAAGGAAACGAGTATATGTAAGTCATTTATATAACAATAGAAATATATATGAACCACTTTAATAACAATGGTATATCAACTCTAAATAACAAAGTTGAGAATTATATCAAACCCTTTTCCTTTATTAAAATAATAAATCGATCAAACGTCCCGGTGGTGAAGAGAAAGGAAGTTGGGCGAGTTGACCCGAGTGGACTCACTCTCTGGAGTGGGTTTGTGTCTCTCTCCGCCATTCTATCAAAACCTCAGCTCCTTCATTTTTCCTTCCCTCTCTTTGGAGCAGAGGGAAATTTTCTCTCTCTCTCTTATCTCAACACTCAATAACACAAAACTTTGACAAACAATACCACAAATGTCTCACTCTGTCTTTCAAACCGCTCAAATCATGCCCATAAATACCCAACTGCTCCCTACTTCCACTAAACCCTTATTTCCGGCCATAGTTATCCGGCGACCAGTTCTAGGGGTCGGCCGGAAGCTCCGTAAAATTAACGTAATTAGGGCATCGACTTCCCCGGTGATCAACGGCGATGCCATTGCCGGTTTGGAGCGGTGCTTTCAAGCTTCACCGGTTGATTCTCCATCATCGTCCTCTTCCTCCGCTACGAATATGTTCGCCCCTGTAATGAAAGGGGGAAAATATGGTGCTTTTGGTGCAGTTACGTTGGAGAAATCGAAACTTGATATGACCCAGAAACAGACCCAGTCTAGCCCCGAGGTTTGTGCATCACTACTTTTTCTACGAATTCAATTTTTTTTCCTCAGTATTTTGAAGGGGAAAAGGTGAACAAATAATTGACTTTACCAGCTTTATCCTTCGTTCATGCTAATTATTTTCTTTTATTTTTTTTGCTTTTCTTGAGTGAAATTTGTCTACTGAAATTGTGGTCTGGTTATAGTTGTATATTCCTAGAAACTTCCATTTCTCCACTATATTGTAAGTTGTCAATAATTTTGGAATGAACGGCCCTGAAAATAATGAAATGGATATTGATGATGAATCTTAGGCTGACCCATATAGCTTGGGATTGAGATGTAGTGCTGCTGTGTTTTGTGGTATGCTATTTATATTTGATATCTAGCTGGAGTTTATCCCAAAGTTGGATAAAATATACATGGTGATGTAGTTAAGATAGTCCAACTTCAAATATTTGACATCAATTTCTACTTTCTAATCTGTTGTAACTTGTAAGGATATCAGCTTCAGAGGTTTCCGCTCATGTATTGTGTTTGGTACCTAACTTTTATTAATCACTAGTGTCATTAAAAGTCATCGTTTTGTGGTTTAAAGCGATGAAGTGATGCAAATCAAGGGTCTATTGCTTTACTGGTGAAGCCATGAACTTCAGAGAAGGGTGCTTCAAATAATCTCACAAAGAGATCCCAACATGAAGTGATCTGTCCAGTGAGTCTCAACGTTGGGGAGTTGATTTTAGTAACAACGTTGCTGTTTATTGGATGTTGAAATTAGTTATTTTAATTGCAATTGGACTATTATAGAACTAAATTTATTTGTATTTAGTACTTGTTCTTATTTCGTAAATTGTGCGCTTAACTTCTAAGAGTGTGTGCTTTCACTTCTCGCTTTTGGCTTCAAGTCCCACAGACTTTGTCGCTTTTTGTGCTTTCATTTTAAAAAACACTGCTAATCACTGAAGCTGAAAAACAGCATTGATGGTGTCCGGTGTTGAGAAAGCCCCCATGTAGTAATCAAAGTAGAGTTAGAGGTTTTGTTTGAGTAGAGTTTTAGTCGAAACTGTGAGATTGTCTGTAGGAACATCATTTTACACTTGTCTGTAGGAACATCATTTTTCATCTCTTATTATCATTGGAGCACCATAAGCCCTTTTAAGGTATGTCTAGTGCTCTTCACAGATGATCATATATCAAAATCTGATTGTTGTGAAGCTGGGCCATGCGAACGGAACTGAAACTGTTGTTGTATTCTTATCTAGTTTCATCTTGGTATTTGTTTGTGGTTTTCCTTCTGATGTGTTACTAAAAAAGAATTGAGGTGTAGGCACATTGCTTTTGTTACATAATAAATTATGTAGCTGAGCAAAATGTGTTTGTTTCATTGCTACTTGTTCTGTAGGAATGAAGAGTCTTGCAGTGTGAGTTTCCTGGTGTTGCTTGCTTACTGATAAATTAGAGGTGGCTTCTGGGAAAGTTAAAATTTCTGTTTCTATATGTGCTTTCTGCAAAAGAACAAGGAGCTAAGAGTTAAAAAAGACTGATCAGATATAATTAACTACATGTGAAAATATGCGTCCAATATACTTGAATCTGACGTTGATTAAAGCATCTTAGATGTGTCTTATGTAGTTTGGTTCTAATGCATCTCCTTTGTCAAAATGAACTTGTCACCCAAGGTGTGTGACCTACTGATCAATGAAGTGTGTTAAGAATCCGAAGGTCTCAGATTCAAATCCTAGGAGACGAAAAAAGACTAGGTTATTTCTTTTCATTTGTCCTAGCCTTAGTGGAAAGAGTTACTTGATACATGTTGTTGGTGGTAGGTTCTGGAATTAATCGAGGTGTGTGAAAGCTGGCCGGACACCACAGCTATAGAAAAAAAAAATAATGTGCTTCAACTGGCCAAGATTGTGTGAATTTGGTATGTGCTTGCTTTATATGATGAGAGAATATTCCACCTATGTTTGAGAACCTTGTCTCTGTTTATTTCCTGATCAACTTTTGTGGTAGACTTAGTGGTACAATCTGGTAACTCTTTGGGTGTTGAAAAAATTGGCTAATGTCGTGCAAAATCATAGCTTTCAACCGGAGGAGGAGGTGGAAATATGGGAAAGAATTTAAATCATGGTGGTGGTGATGGAGGTGACGATGATGGTGATGATGATGATTACTTTGATGACTTTGATGATGGTGATGAGGGAGATGAGGGTGGATTATTTAGGAGAAGAATGATACTACAAGAGGTAAGAGGCTTCTGAAGATGGAAATGGTTTCTGTTAACTCATGGAATAAATTTACAGCATTATTATATCTCTCATAATTTCTCAATAATATTTTTAGTTGTTTGATCGGAAATTTGTTGAAGCCGTGCTAAATGAGTGGCAGAAGACAATGATGGATTTACCAGCTGGGCTTCGACAAGCCTATGAAATGGCAAGTTACTTTATTTAATGTAGTTATGTAGTTGCATTGTTATATGTCTAACTTTAGTCGTACTTCTAATCCAGGGTTTAGTTAGCTCTGCACAAATGGTGAAATTTCTTGCCATTAATGCCAGACCGACAACTGCTAGATTTATTTCCCGGTCACTTCCTCAAGGATTATCAAGGGCATTCACTGGCAGGTAAATACAACACTACACTACCACATTACTCAGAACACTTAGAGAGGGCAAAAGTTCTGGAGAAAAGCCTTTCTACTATTTAATGTTTGTATGATAGCTGGTTTTGGAGAAATTACTTCGCTAATCAAAGCCTTATTCTCTCTGTGTAGCTTTTTTTTAAATGGTAAGCCTTATTGATGTAAAAACTAGCACTAAGAAGTGTTGTAATTACATCCATAAAGGAGGGGGAAGGGGAAAAGACGATTGAAACCCCAGAAAAACAAAAATATGATGAAGTGCAATAGGGGTTCGGCATCATCTATGCTCCACTTTACACCAAAAAAGAAATGAGAAGTATACATTCGGATTTTGATTATCAGTACAGAGCTGTTGTTTCCTTCAGAATGTCTTCGATTTACTTCCTTCAAAATGCACCACCAAATGCATGCACATATGGAGTCCAAGTCTTCTTCAGTTTCTTAGATAAGCCCTTTTTGTGTTGGCATAGTAACAGATCAGCAGGTGAATTAGGCATGACTCATTTAAGGTTCAAAACAGTGATGCCAAATCTGAGAAGTGAAAGGACTACGCAAAAAGATGTTTGTTTGATTCTGATTCTCCTCCACATAGAAAGCATTTGCTGACTAGTTGTATGCCCCTCTTTTGCAAATTGTCTTGAGTTTGATAAAGCTTCTCTGATCTAGTCATGTAAAGCACATTACTTCCACTGGTGCCTTTAGAGTTCCAAACCTTGTTCCATGACCCATAAGTTTCTTGGCTGGCTTCTTTTACTGGCATGCAGTAACACAACTTCACTGAATTGGAACCATCTCTCTGCTGCCCCTCCAAAATTAAATTTTCACTGTTTAAATCTGGAACTGAGGAAAGAAGAACAAAAAAGTCAGTAACTCTGTCCATATCCCAGTCGTTAAGGTTTTTTCTGAAGATGATATTCTGACCGTTGCCTTCTTTATTTTGTGCTACACTGAGACTGTTGTCCACTGCTAAGTGTATTTAGAAATCTTAGGGTTGTAGCCTATAAAGTTTTACTGTGAGGTTGCAAAGAAGTTTGTTCACAATCATTTTCTTACTCGGAGGTCATGCTTTTTGCTTCTTAGACGGCTCATCTAAATAAGATATAAAGATACTATGGTTGTACTCATTTTTTGAGGAAGGTAACATTTGTATTACTATTTAACAAGAAAACTTAACTTTCTTAGGCTGTTCTTGAAAAGGAGTTTCTAAGACTGTCTTCTCCAATCCACACCTCATTCCAGAAATCAGTTTTCAAACCATTTCCAACAGTGATTGACATGTTGTTGTTGAAATGAGGCCATAATCTTCTTATGGTTTTCCAGACACTACATCCAAAGGTTCCCGCAACCTCCTCAGTTGTCCAGTGATTGAGTAAACCATACTTTCCGACTATGAATCTTCTCCAAATGGCCCTCTCTTCTGAGGAGAACCTCCAAAGCCATTTCTGCAAGAGAGAGGTGTTTTGTTTGCTGAGGTTCTTCAGGTTGAGCCCCCCTTGTTGAGTGTTGAGAGTCAGTTCATCCCATTTCACAAGGTTATAACCTCTCTTCTCCTTGTTTCCTTGCCATAGAAAGGCTCTCCTAACTCTATTGAGTTTTTTTTCAATGCTCTTTGGTATGGGAAAAAGGCTCATCATGTATGTAGGCATGCCATCAAGAACTGACTTGGTGAGAGTCAATCTGCCCCCTAAAGAGAGATATTGACTTTTCCACCTAGATAGTTTATTCTCGCACCTTTCCAACACCCCACTCCACACCTCTAATTCTTTGTTTTTAGCACCTAGTGGCAGTCCCAAATATTTAGTTGGTAAAGATTCCACTTGGCAGCCCAATTGCTATATACTTCAAAGACAGGAACAAGTTTGCTTAACAGAATGGCCAGACGGAATATTTTAAAGCTAAATGTTTCACATTGATTCAAAGGCAATTAACGTCCATAAGACTTTGTATGAGAGGGACTTATGGTTAGATTGTGAGAGGGCATTGATTAGTGATTTCCTAGGCTGCCTGCCGTAGTGTTCTTGTAGGCCTCACCAACTGCTATCTATTGAAACACATGCACACTTTTTATAGTCAACCTAGTAAATGGAACTTAATGAGATAATATCTACTAGATTTCATGGATTTTGTTTGATTCATATAGTCATTGAAAGATCCGTATATCAGAGAAGGATAATATCTTCCAAGAAAAGGAGCAACAGAGAGCCCAAACTTATGGGAAAAATTTATAGATTTCTTTTATAGGTTAAGGAGATGAAAAATTTACTGAGAATAATGTATCTTTGCTCTGTTATTGGTGAGAGTTAACGGTAGTATCATATCAGTGATTCTTACCTTTTGGATTAAGTTAAGGAAATCCTTAAGCTCAACAGCTCCAGGCTTCTTTGAGATCAATGCTACAAGGGTGGCATTGAAAGATTTTTCAAAGACTCCCCTCTGGTGGAAATTATGGATAGTCTGCATCAGGTCCTCCTTCAAGATCTCCCAGCATGCCTTGAAAAATTTCAAGGTGTAACCATCAGGACCAGGGGCTTTGTCTCCATCACACTGTTGGATAGTTTGCAACACTTCTATTTCTGTAAATGGTCTCTGAAGCCATTCATTCTCCTCATTGGTGACCATAGGACAGCCTGTCAAATCAAAAGTAGGTCTCCATGACTCATTCTCAGTGTAAAGATTGGAATAGAACTCTATCATAGCACTTTTGATTTCATCAGGTTCTTGCATCTCTTCCCCCCTTACAACCAGCCTATCAATTGTGTTGTACCTTCTGTGTGCTGTTGCTAATCTCTGAAAGAACCTGGTGTTCTTATCCCCTTCTTTTAGCCAAAGTGCTCTAGATTTTTGTCTCCATCTCTCTTCATCATGATTGGCCAGTACTTCAAGTTCGACCAGTATTGTTGCCCTAACCATCAACTCTTCTTCGGATAATTCTCTGTCTTCTTGTGCTCTGTCAAGAACAACCAGTTCTTCAAGTAGGTTGTTTTTCCTGTTAGTCATTTCAGAAAATGTGTTCCTACTCCAGTCTTTCAGTTTCTCTTTCAGCAATTTCAGTTTAGTACATAATTTATAATCAGGGCACCCTACAACTGTGAAGCCATTCCACCATTCCTGGACCAGTTCATTAAAACCCTCGACCTTAAGCCACCAATTTTCAAATTTAAAATAAGAATTCCTTTTTTCCCAGTCTCCGCACTCCAAAAGGATAGGGTTGTGGTCTGAGGTTACTCTGGGCATGATCCTTTGTCTGATATTCTTGAAGCTTTCCTCCCATTCCGTTGAGTATAAGAATCTGTCTAGCCTTGCATTACTTTGATGGTTTAGTCCCCTAACCCAAGTGTATTTACCTCCGATTAGAATAGGGTCATGTAATTCAAGATCTTCAATCCATTTGGAGAAATCAGCCATAATGTTAGTTGTTCTAGAGCATCCCCTTCTTTCCAACATATGTCTGACTGTATTAAAATCTCCCCCTGTTACCCATGGCCCTTCGGACAGTCCCTTCATTGCAGCCATTTCCTCCCAACATTCGAGCTTTTCCTTCCTGGTATGAGGAGCATAGACACCAGTAAAGGTCCAACAAAAAGAATCTTGCAGCGCTTCAAATTTATATGTGATTGAGAAGTTACCTTCCTCTACTTTTGAACCCTTCCACACCCTACTGTCCCACATTAAGAGGATACCCCCTTTGCTACCATCTGCTACCATAAAACCACACCTCATCCATCTACTTGGCCATAATTGGAATGCCACTCTTTCTACTCCCTTGTTTACCTTAGTCTCCTGTAAACATATCACGTCAGCCTTCCATTTCTGTAGGCAGGTCTTAACTAAGTTTTTTGATGCCTCATTGTTAAGACCCCTAACATTCCATGTTAAGATCTTGACCTTCATTTAAAAGTTAAGCATAGATTCCTCCCCCTGTTCCTTACCCCTTCCACTTCCTTATTAAGACTAGACTGAAGGTTTTTTAATTCATTTTTCCCTCTGCCTCTGCTTTTTGGAGTTGTGGTTTCCTTCGGCTGTTTCGTTTTGTCAATTTCCATCTTCCTTTCATCAATTCTCATGAGGAGCTCCAGAGTTTCACTTTCAAAACCCTCGAAGGCTACCCCATAGGTATTACTCAACTCCAGAATATGAGAATTCACCCAATTAGATGCCTCTGTCTTGATCACCTCGGGTTCTATTGGATTCAGCATGTCAACTGGTTCTGGTTGGTGTATCTGTTGAATTTGTAGCTCTGCTTCTCTCGACTCAGCTTGGTTGGCAGCTGTATTCGTGGATTCCCCTTGTGTCTGTCTATGTGGGTCGTTATTCTTCAACTGTGCGTGCGTGTGTGAGGTTTCCTCTACACTTGGGCCTTCTTCTCTTCTTTCGTATGTCGCCTTGGAGGAAAGTTCCCAGTTCTTCATTGCTAAGATGAAATTCTCAGCCAAAACCTTAATATCTTCAAGCCCCTTTAAAGAGGTCATGTGCTGGGCATGTGCATCTTTAATGAAAGGGGCCTTAGAAGCTTCTGTTACTTTTGGGGTGAGGCCCAATATAACTTTAGGGTCCAGCATACTAAGCCCATCAACATTAGCCCTATTTCTCACTCCACTAGACTCTGCAGAATCACATGGGAGTGCATGTGACAGTGGTCTAGTCCCTTTCAACTGACCCATGTCAGTCCACATCCCTTTATCCAATGGATCTTGGTCAACAACCTTTTGGGTAAAGAGGTTAGAAGCTCCCCTATCTCCGACGTAGGCTCTCGCCGGAAGTTCAGCCCAAATCTGCAGATCACTCCACCATTCTTGACTTTGACCTCCTTCGGAATATTATTTCCATCGCTGCATACTCTAATTCTCGCCCATTTGAGGTGGTTCCTCAGTGTGGTCTCCTCCTCTGTTTCGAGCCAACCACCACAAAGATTTCCAATGGCTTTGAAAATTTTTTGCGACTAGAGATGGAGTGGTAAACCTAGAATCTTCACCCAAGTCAATTTGCCTGTACTCCTCTCTTCTACAGTGGCAACTAAAGGATTCCACCAGATTAGCTTAACTGGGGTTTTTTTCCATTCCCAGATCCCTTCCATGACTTGTTGTGCTAGTTGTATGGACTTGAATTCAAAGAGAAAAAAATTGTTTCCCATTTCATATACATTCAAGCCATATGCTTGTTTCCAGGTATTGTAGGACCATTTCCGGACTTCTGTCAGTGTGGCATCTGCATTAAATTTCCCCACCAAACTCCTCTTGAGTGCTTCACTATGATTGCATATAGGTTCTTTAATGCTAATGACTCCTTTTTGCATTGTCACCTCTGCATTTGCATTTACTTCCTTCCCTTCTCTGTTTTCCCATTTAGAACTTCTGACCATCTCAGCATAGGGAATGTTTTCATCAACAGTTCTGTATGCCTCCAGGTTGTTTGTGGTCTTGTGAGCACTTATAAACCTTGCCACCTTCTCTGCAATGTCTGCCCACCCTGAATTGCAGGTCAGTTCTGGGATGATGAGAACTGATCTTCTTCTACCCCTTACACTTATCAAACTGATGTACCTCCCATACTTATTATAGTTACGAGCACCAAAGATCTCAGCTATATCATCTGTTTTCCTCCACCTACGAACTGAGTTCCCTTTAGTTTGGGAAGCCTCCTTGAGAACCCTTACTATCCATTCCATGGATCCTTTGTTGAAAGTTGTCCTCGTGACTGCTTTCCTGCTTCTCTCTGTCCACTCAAACCATATACCAGAGGTCCCTGATAACCTTTCTATATCGAACGATTTGAAACCAACTGCAAAATAAATGAAATTATCCATATCGGTTGAAAATAAACTTTCTAGATCCTGTGTTTACTCCTCTTGATTGAATGCTAAGGATGGAGAGAAAAACCTATCGTATTGTGCCTGAGAGCATTTCAAAAAATTTCAGACACATTGAATTGCATCACTTGGTTCATTTATTTTCAAACAAAAATATAGTTAGCCTCTTTTGCCTTTTTATTTTCACATCTCAAGAGCAACGTGCAGCCACGTGCCCTCTAATCAATTTCTCTTGGTTTCTTTAGTTTCCATGCTCCTCAAATTTTTTTCCAGATTGATCTTTGCTACGTAAAATTTCATTTTGCTATCCAAAAATGCAACTCACTGGCATTGTCTAGGAACTCGTCAACCTCACTTTGTCATGGAATCTCACCCTCAAGCTTTCCTCTCCGGCTGTCCCTAGTTTTCTGTCTCTTGCTCTAATAGGCAAGTATCCCTCTTGGACTATCTCTCTCTATCCTTAGTTTTCCTATAGTGTATTTGTTTTTTTCTATAATATTGATAACCATCTCTGAATATGGAAGTAGTTGGGGATGCAAACAATATGTGGGATAAGACAAGTAGTTGGATCAAGGAAGAAGTGAGAGGTGTTGGGGTCTTGAGGGGAAACTTTGGTGGACATCAAGGTGATTGGTGGTGGAATGGGAAGTCCAAGGAAGGGAAAAAAGGTAGCTTATGCAAAGTTGGTGGAGAGCTACGAGGAGGAGGATAAGCGGGTGAATAGGAAATTTGTATAAGATGACGAGGAAGAAGGTGAAGTTAGCATGACTGTGGCAAAAATGACTACTTTCAAACATTTGTATATAGGACTAGAGGACAAAGGCGGGGATAAGAAGTTGATAGGCTAGCCAAGGCGAGAGAGGAAGGCTCTAGACTTAGACCAATGAAATGCATTAAAGATGAGGAAGCCAACATGTTGGTTGAAGAGACTTGGGTAAGGCAGATCGGAGCACTTGCTAGTCATGATGGAGCTGCAGCAGGGGTCAACACTTAATCCGTTTTTATATTCCTCGGTGATGGATGAACTAACGTGTTATAATAAAGGTGAGGTGCCATGATGCATGTTATTTGCAAGCTACATAGTACCAATTGACGAGACTCGCACCAGAGTTAATGCTAGGCTGGAGGTTTGGAGAAAAACCCTGGAGTCTAAAGAGTTTAAGTTGAGCAGGACCAGGACCAAAACTGATTACTTGAAGTGCAATTTTGGTGAAGTACTGCGTGAGGTCTGCATGGAAGTGGGGCTTGGCACATTGGCCATTCCCCATCTTGGGTCTTTAATCCAAGGAAAAGGGTAGTTTGATGATGATGTCGCACATTGTATTGGTGGGGATGGACGAAACAGAAACTTGCCTCCGGAGTCCTCTGGGACAAGAATGTACCACTAAAACCTAAAGATAAGATCTACTGAGTGGTGGTTAGGCTGACTACGTTGTATGAGGCAGAGTGTTAGTCAATTAAGAACTCATGTGGAAGCGGAAATGAGGATGCTGGGGTGGATATGTGGGCATTTCTAAAAGAGATAAGACTAGGAATGAAGATACCCGAGACAAGGTGGGAATAGTCTTTGTGGTGGACAAGATGAGGGAAGCGAGACTGAGATGGTTCAGGCATGTGAAGAGAAGATGCCCTGTGAAGAGCCTCATTGTGAGAGGTTGGCACTGGTGGGTTTAAGGAGAGGTAGAGGTTGGCCAACGAAGTATTGGGTAGAGGTGATTAGATAGACATGTCACATCTTTAACAAACTGAGGACATGACCTTAGATAAGAGAATATGAAGGTTGCGGATTAGGATAGAAAGTTAGTAGGTAGTGAGCGTTGTCTCACTTTCCTGTGGGATAGGTTTGGTGGTAGCAGGGTTCACAGAAGCATTTAGCGGAAAAAAGATACAAGGCCTCGCTTCACGCTTTAAGTGAATCGCTCGCTTCATTGAAGTGAGCGCACACAATGTTTTTTTAAGAACCAAAATAAATAGAGACAATATATTTATATTTATGTAGTTGGGTCCCTATGGAAAGAAAGGAACGGAAGATGCTTTGTGGATAAGAGAAACAACATCCAGAAAATTAGAATGAATTGCCTTAGTCTTTTGTACTTTTGGTGTAAACAAGATATGATGGGGGATATAAAACTTTTTGATGACTTCATAGGTAATTTGTAATCTCCCATAGGGTAGTTTGATATGCTCTGATGAGATTGTAAGTGACCTATGCTCATCATTTATTTGATGATGAGCCTTTTGTGAATACACAGTTACCTTTATCTCAAAAAAATATTTATGTAGTTGCATTGTTATATGTCCAACTTTAGTCGTCTTCTCTACTTCTGTGTGTTCTTTTCCATACTGCTTTGATATGCGTTACTTCAGCTGAGGGTCTTTCAAAACCACTCTCTATCTCTACGAGGTAGGGAAAAGGTTTGCGTGTGAACATGGCAGGAGTGAACCCATTTTAATGAAGTTCTGCCATTTGCAATCTCAATACTTACACTGAGCAGTGGGAGTCCCGCTTTTCTCCACCAGGATTGCTTCTGTTTCAAAAAACTTCTAATAACTGGATAATTTTCTTCTCCTTGATTATTGTTGTTGAATTTATGGGGAATTAATGATGCCAAATTTGGTTCAACCATTTGCTATTTACTGTGTGAAAGGGAAAGAAAAGGGAGAAGAATAGACATCTGCGTAAGAACTGAGCTCTTTTTTTTATATATATTTTTTTAAAACGGGGGTCGGGGAAGCGGAAATGTGAGAGGGGATAACAAGATGGGAATCGAATCATCACCAACAAAGTGAAAGTTCAGGTGGCCAACCAATTGAGCTGCTAAGATTCTCCATGCAGAAACTGAGCTCACAAAAAATCTCAGGAAAATAATTGCTTGAGACAAGCTTTAGCTTTATATGCCAAGCTGTTTGGGTAATAGCAGAGGCAAGTCTGAACATCCAAAAACCTCACCCTTCTCACCCCTAATTTTGGTACATTCAAGGGAGTTCTTTGGCACCTCCATGTTTTTGATATGCTGGTAGTGAGTAAATCTTTTCTTTCTATAAATGTCTTGGACATTCAAAAAGTTATTATGCAGATTTAGATTTATGCTTCTAATTGCCTGATTTTCTATGAATATGTAACACAGGATGATTGCAGATCCGGCATTTGTATACAAGCTGCTTCTAGAGCAAGCCAGTACAATTGGTTGCTCAGTTTGGTGGGAGATCAAAAACCGTAAGGAGAGGTATACTTATTCAGTTCAAGGAAATAAAACTCATTAAAAACTGCATGCAGGATATTAAATAAACACTTTTTTTGTCTAGGATAAAGCAGGAATGGGATCTTGCCCTTCTTAATGTGCTTACTGTAACGGCATGCAACGCTATTGTTGTTTGGTCACTTGCTCCTTGTCGTTCATATGGAAACACATTCCAGTTTGATTTGCAGAACACATTACAGAAGCTTCCAAACAATGTCTTTGAAAAGAGTTATCCACTAAGAGAATTCGACTTGCAGAAGAGGATTCAGTCCTTTTTCTATAAGGCTGCAGAGCTCTGTTTGGTTGGTCTCACTACAGGAGCTTTCCAAGGGGCTGTATCGAATCTTGTTGTCACTAAAAAGGAGGGAAGGTAGATATTGGTTGGCATACTTGGCAATTCATTTTCCCATTTAATTTTATATAAAGGTAAAAATATCACTGATTAACACCTTATGTTCTTGTCTAAATCTCTTTTGCTACTGCTCTTTGCTAGGTTGTCGGTGACAATACCATCTGTGAGCAGTAATGCACTTGGTTATGGTGCCTTCCTTGGTCTTTATGCAAACCTGCGTTATCAGCTCTTGTGTGGATTTGACAGAGCTGTAGTTAACCACTTTGATGTTATTGGAGTGGCTCTCTTCTTCAGCACTGCCCTGAGGTATACTGTCAGTAAATGAATGGTGGTAGCATATGCAAATTCTTTTTTCTTCTTTTTTCAGCAAGTGTGAACTTCATTCATCAACTACAGTTCATGTTTAGTAGTACATGTAAGCTTTCTAGCTTTTTAAATGGCGGTAGCATATGCAAGTTCTTTTTAGAAAGAATAGGATTCTTTATGCAGCCTTAAACACAAATGAATAATGATAAAAGGAAAAAGGACATGATATAATTTTGAGTGGAAAAAATAGGAGTGTGCTCCATGCAGGAACAGCTAGTCTAAATTTGCTTCTTTGGTTTTCTGTAAAAGAATTAATGCTTTAGGACCTACAATAAGCAGTTGCTGTAGAAGTGCAATGCCGTTTTTGATTCACGTTTATTGTGTTTGTTGATTCTTCCGATAGGTGCTTAAATGTCAGTCTGAACCATCTTAGTGTGTAAAACTAGATTAGCATTGGTTATAGAAAAGTATTTTCAGTCATCCTAAGAACTGAAGGTTAGAAAGATGCAATGCTTTAGAATTAAGAGGGTTAATTTTGGTGCTCATTGGATTTGATTTTTTCTGCTTAATAAATCAGTCAAATGTATGCAGGGTCTTGAATGTTCAAGTAGGAGAGGCATCAAGACTAGCATGGCTCGGTGTGGAGGTGGATCCACTGGCCCATTCAGATGATGTCTTGAAGGCTTATAGTAGACCCACTGAGGGTCTTGATCAGCCTTCTTCAAAATGGTTCTTATCCAAGAATGCCATAGTTTCGGGGCTTGGGCTTCTTGGGATCAAACAGGGTCAGACTGACTCAGCTTCTGAGGGGGAAACACCAGCACCTAAGGCTCGGAGAAAAAGAATAGTCAGGAAAAAAGTAACAAGTCAAGCCTAGGTGGTTGACAAAGCAGTCATCAATCACTGTTCAATTTTGCAGCCTGAGAATTTAATAAGCATCGAGTGTTTGATTGAAAGCACAAAATGAAGACAGCTTAGATGCAAGTCTGGTCATGAGCATTGCCATGTCCACTACAGCAGAAGGTGATTAACTGTACTAGGATGATGGGGAAGCACTCTTCTCAAATTCTTGCCTTCGTTTCCAAATCTTCATGAATCACTGATTTGCGTGAGATTACTTTGGCTATCATTAAAATATGCGAGGCTGAACTTTTAAAATGAATTCCATAGTTAGGACTAGTTATATTGCTGCAATCCTCTTACAGTCTGCTTTTAGTATATCAATTTCTTATCCCTGTTGCCTCTTTTGATGTTCTTGGCTGAGATGCCCAGCTTAAACCATAAAACTTGTTTGCTCAATTGAAGCTAGTCCCACATTTTTTGTTCTCTTCAATATCTTATAAACCTCATCATGATAAATCAATCAAGAACTTGTGTTAGAGGGAATACCATATTATTATTTGAAAATTACATAAAACATATTATAAATCACAATAATTAACAATTTAAAAGACATAAACAATAGGCCTAACCCATTGGTGGCCCCCTAAAGTTGGCACAATGCTTCACTTAGATACTTTAACCGGACGATGTTCATTTAGACATCTTATGTAGGATTCCGTTGTGTCATTTTGATGTTTTTTTTAATATCAGCAAAAGTATATAATGTGTGTGTTACATTCGCGAATGACGTATAAAGTGATGAATTAAACGATGACATTTGTCATTTGTGTCAAAAGTGATTTTTAAATAATTAATTTTGAGAAAAATAAAAATTGACCAATAAATTAATGACACATGACCAAGATAATTACAAAATAGAATAAAATTTAAATCAATAAAAGAAACACCCCCACCCCCTCCATAGTCTTCTCCAAATAGCCCAGATAAGGCTGTTCATAACCGAACCAAAATTGATAACCCGAACTGAAAAAAAGTTACTAGTTTTTCAGTATTGGGTTATTGGTTTAGCGTTTTGATAACGATTTTTTTTTTCTTATCGGGTTATCGGTTCTTAACGGTTTGAAGTTTTTTCTTAACGGGTTAACCGATAACCCGATAGTAAATTAAATAATTATATTTATACCATTTTGTATATAAAGTCCTTGACTTAGAGTTTGGTTTCCTACTTTTATTTCTGGTTGTCTCAAACACTTGGTTATTCTACATGTAAACATGTTTGCTTTTGAGCAAGATGTAACTTGTGAACTCATGTGCATGGTTCATTTGGTTTGTCACCTTGTTTCTAAGTGATTTTCAATATTTTTTTTGTGTCAAATCTTAATGGTTAAACCGATAACCGAACCAATAACGATAAAAAAACCGATAAACCAATAACCGATAAGCCAATATCTTAATGGTTTGATAATGGTTTAGCATCTCTACAAACCGATAACCAATAAGCTAAATCGATAAACTTCAAAATCGAACCGAACCGACCGATACGCAGCCCTAGGATCTCCAAATATACTCATATTCCTTTTGGACCCCCCCCCCCCCCACACACACACCTGTCTTTTCCAAATACGAAAGTTGCGTTTGTGTACCACTGTTTATGATTATTTTCTCTTTTTTTCCCCCAATAAATAGCTTGATAGAGAATGAGAGATTTTTGTTAGTATAAAGATGTTTTTTTAGCTTAGTTTAAAGAAATTTACTCCGTTATTTTGTTGAAACCTTCCTTCACAATGGATAAAATTTAACATGTGCAAAATGGTGGCTGAAAAATGGAGAAGAAGAAGAAAAAAATAATTAAAAATTAACCAAAGGACCATTCATGCGCTGGTCAATGAGTGTATCACACTCATTATGCCATGTAAGTAAAATGTGTCAAAATGACACAACAGAATCCTACATAAAGTGTCTAAAATGAACATCGTTCAGTTGAGGTGTCTAAGTGAAATATTGTACCAACTTTAAGGGGCTATCGATGGGTTAAGTCTAAACAATAAGATGTGGATCAATAAAAATAATGCCACATATTTAATTAAAAATAATTTATGCCGCATCAACTTCTATTAAAAAGAGTGGTAACTTTAGACATAAATTAACACAGAAGGACATTTTTTTTATTCAAATAGGTGGTTCATTGGTGGAAGGACATTTTTAATCCTTAGGTGAAAGAAAGGCATTTTTGAGCCACTTTCCTAAGGTTTTTCTTTACCCCTTTTCCTTATTTAAATTATAGATAAAGTATTAAATAAGAGAGAATTTATAATATCATATTAGGAAAGAGAATATATCAAGAGGAACTGAAAATATCAATACTTTGAGGATATTTATATTTTAAATTTAATTTTTTTAAAATAAAGGGGAAAAACTTTCTTGGTTAGGATTTATTATTCTGATTAATAATTATGAACAGAAAAAATATTGTTAGATCTTATGACGAAATATAATGAAAAAAAACTTTTTATTTATTCTTTGAACATATTTAAATTTATAGTGTGTATGTCTGCTTCAACTTTAGTTATTAAAAGATCAATAGTTAAATTCTAACGAACGTGGATTCTAAAGGAAGAGAAACATATAGAGTTGTTTTTGCTAATGATATTTAGATTTGATATCACTTAAAATTTAATTAAATACAGATTTCTAATCAAATATAGAACTTTTTTTCTTTTCATTTTATTGCACGTTTCAATTCATTCTAAAATAATTTTAAAAATAAGACAATTTCAAAAAAAAATTAAATTAAATTATAGAGATAATGCTTAAGTACCCCTGAACTATGACCGGAATTCCAACGACATACCTTAACTTAACTAGGGCCCTATTACACCCCTAAACTATTTAAAGATGGAATAAATACATCGTAAAAGCTGATGTGGTATAGAGAGTGTGCACTCTCTTGAAGGCAGAGACAACCCAGGATTTGAAGGTTTCGAGTGCACTAATATTACCTTAGCTCAAATATGAGCTCTAAGCTAAACTTAAAATAAAAACAGTAAAAAAGGACATTAGCTGGATTCAAACACCGTCTCTAGGGTGATTCCTCTAGGCTCTAGCTTGTACCAACAACACTAGGACACTTATATGATCCTCATGGGTGCACTGTTAATTATACCATAGTTTATGTCAGTTTCTCAAGACAGATATACATATGAGTTTTTTCAAAGTTGTCGGGTGCACGTGCACCCCATTTATAGGTGTGAGTTCGCCTCTGCTTGAACGCAAGTGATGAGTGAAAAAATTGGACACGTGTTCCTTTTTAATTGGTAACTTTATAATTAGTTAGTACACATAATTATTGATACTAGTTTCACGGCATGTGCGTTGCACGTGTGTATCGTATCATATAGTATACGATGTTGTGAAATAGAATTATTATTACTAAATTAAAGGTTTTTTGTAAATAATTTTAATTGAAAGAACATAAGACAAATGCTTTTATATGACTAATACAAATTGTCAGGGAGTTACTTGTTTTTTGAGATCAAAATGACCTGATATCATTGAAACATTTTAAAATACATTCAAAGTTTAAATATTGAGAGAAAGTGACATTTCATTAGTAGTATTTTTTTTACTTCACTCAATTTTATAAACAAATTTAACCAACAAATAAAAAGTTTATATCAAAAAAGTCACCAATAGCCTTTTTTCTTGAGGTAATGACCATAAATGACGAACACCATTTAAGTACAATTTTTCTCTTAAATTTCATACATAAAATTTAGTATGTGCATGACACTACTAACGGTTACCACAAATATTTCAATAGTTTATCTTTATACATAGTATATGTTTAAAAAATATTATTACTCAATGAATATTTGAGTAAGGCTATCATAGAGGTAATTTTACAAAAAATGTACTTTTATAGTGAATGTCATCAATGTTGTAAAGACAAAAAATATAACATCAAAATTAGTTGTAAAGATAATTATATCATTACAGTGAAATGTTGTAATAACGAATGATGGTTTAATAGAGGTTTGAGTGCATGTCAAATATTTAGCTTGACCAATTCTTTGTTTTAGATATATATACATCAGTAGCATAATTTAATGTTAATATATGAACAACATCATCTATGGTGAAAATATTTCATTTCTTTAAGTTTCTACCTTATCGTTGTGGAATTGTAGTGTTCTCTTCTTTTTTTTTGCCGCATACATATGTTGTCTAATGAAAGAATCTTTTATCTTATAGAAGTTGTATCGTGATATAAAACATTAAACTTTTTCAATAAAAAAATAGATGAATAAAATTTAAAGTATTATTTATAGAATCTTTAATTTGATTTAAGATCATTTTATGATCAATCACTATATCTATTTTTATATAGCTAGCAAGTAGTGTATCTTATGACATAACATTTTCTTAGATTAAATGAACACAAAATAAGAGGAAATTCATACTTAAAAATTTCATACTCAATATAAATATAAAAAAATATATATATATATATGGAACAATTCATAGGCAATAAAAAAGGAAGAAGGAAATATATGTTCATGCTATATTTATTCTAGTTTTCCATATGATTGAAATCTCTTTCCACCAATACTTTACTTTCTTCGTTCGTTTGTACTAACATATCTATTAAAATATAATTAATATCATATTAAAAGTTAAAGTGAAAATTTATTTTTGAAATAATGAACTTAAAATCAAAACTAATAATTTAATGGACTACATTGATGCCAGTTGTTTTAGTTAAATTAGGAAGAAACTCATTCTTTTGAGGGTAAAAGAATAAAAAATTAAAAAATTAAAAAGAAATATCTTACCCAATCATGTGCCTTTTTGTCATATTTGTTTATTATTATTGTCTCTCCCACAACTTGATCTACTAATTTATTAGAAAAATAATCTACAATGTGTGCATTCATCACTGCTCACTCATTATGTGAACACTAATTATTAAATTATCTCTCGAATTAAAACACAAAAGAAATTAATTAAAGAACGAAAGCAAGAAAAGAGAAACGAAAATCCCCGCACACTATATACATAAGTTTTCTGTGTGAAGCAAAGTTCATAGTTAATTGCACATTTCTCTGTCATCTCATTTTCTTCTTATGTTATCTTAATTTCTTCTTTAATAGAAAGTCAATATCTAAATTTCTATGCTAAGAACCTCGACGAAAGATATCAATGGATTAAGGATGAATCATTTATGAAAATTTTAAATGATTTCAATTTGTCACAGAAAAGAGATTCCGAAAATTTATAAAAAGTAAATGGTTGTGATTTATGACCGAAGAACATGAAGGTTGAAATTGTTGTGAGTATTCGAAGGAAATAAGTCTTTTTTTAATAAATAAAATATGTAGGTTAATTAAAAGGGTATTAATGTTCTAAAACGATATAAAATAATATTGAAGTATGTATGTGATGAAAATCGTAAGAAGAAAATATGAGTGTGAATTGATTAATGATTTGTTA